AACATATACAATCAACCTAAGTGTTCATCAACAGATGTTGACATGTGTGTCAAAGAAACTTTGGCATGTGTGTGCAATGCAATGCTATTCAGCTTTTACAGAAAGACACTTGTGAGCACATGGGTGAGTCTGGAGGACATTGTACTAAGTGGAATAAGCCATGTGCACAGAATGAGTGATACTGCATGATCTCACCATGTGTAAAATCCCCAAATCCTGAACTTGTAGAGGCAGAGAATGTACTTGTGGTTGTCAAGGCTTGGGATGTGGTGGACGGGCAAGCTGTTGGTCATGGGTATAAAGTTTTAGCTGGGCAAGTTCTGAAAATCTAATTTAGGTCATGGTGACTATAGATGGTTAGGTGTGTAAAACTTGTGAAGTACTAAATGTTTTTGTTTTTTGAGAAAAAAGAGAGATAATATGAGGTAATGGGTATGTTAACTGCCTGAGTTAATAATCGCACATTATTATTAAACTACATCTCCAGCCTTAAAATATCAGGGCTGAGAACTTAGGGTAAATCCTTAGAATTAATCATTAGACCTACGCACAGATGCACAGAGGCCGTTGGTCTAATGTATTTACCTTTAAACGGCACTTAACACTTTTCTCTTGCAGGCGATAATCTTTGATTGTTCTGTACTTTTGACAACTTTATTATAACAACCCATGACAACACACTTCTATGGTCATGTGTGTTAAAAGTGCATAGGTGCTTCTTGTACCTCAATGTCTATGTCTTTTCCAAGATTTCAGAAGTTTTCTGCTGTTATTTTACTGAAAAGGTTTTCTGTGGCCCCAGCCCAAAGCTCTTCTCTCTCCAGTGTGCCAATGATCCAAATACTTGTTTTTTTATAAGGGTATCCCAAAAGCTCTTGCAATTTTTTCTTCATGCTTTCTCTTTTATTCTTTCTGTCTGATATTAACAACTCCAAAGAATGGTCTTCAAGTTCTGTTTCTTTTTCTCCTGTCTTATCTAATCTGTTACTGAGGCTGTCAATTAACTTTTTATTTCTATGTTGAGATTGTTTGCTGGGATGGGTCTCTTTTATGATAATATGATAGCTTCCTTGGTGACTTTCTCTTGATGATGTGTCTTGGGAGGCTTCAGTTCTGGCTTGAACTGACAGCAGGGAGTCTCTCATTCTTGTCATCCTCCCCATCATGAATATTCTACCATGTTTTTTCCTCACATGACCCTGATGCTGCGAAATCTAGAGTCAGAAAATGAAGAGCTTTTCGCTCACACAAGCCATGCCTTTAAAGATTTATTCTTATATATATGAGTGTTTTTTCTGTATGTCTGTGTCACGTGCCTGCTGTCTGGTATCCACAGAGGCCAGAGGAGTATGTTAGATCTTCCGGAACTAGAAAACAACAGTTTTGTCATGTAGAAGCTAGGAATTGAACCCAGGTCCTCTGCAATAACCCTAAGTGCTGGTAACTGCTGAACCATCTCTTAAGCCCTTTGAAAGCTTTATAAAAGATTTTGACAGGTTCTCATGTGGCCCAGGCTGGCTGTTGCAAACTCATTATGTAGCTGAAGATAACCTTGACACTTTTTTTGGGGGGGGAGGGTTGTGTCTTTTTTTCAAGACAGGGTTTCTCTGTAAGTCTCCTATCTCAGCTTTCTAAATGTTGAGATTAGGCACATGTGCCACCACATTTGGCTTACACCGAACTCTTCTAGATTGTTTTCTTTACTGTGTGCATAAATGTTTGCATGTGTGAGTGCAGTGTATGTGTGTGCACATATGCACACATGAGCATGTGTGCATCTATGGTTTCATGCATGTGTGTTTAGAACCTAAGGCTGGTGTTAGAAGTTTTCTTAATTATAGGAAATGAGCACCTTACTCATAGATGTAGGGTCTCTCAATTATACCCAGAACATTGGGGATATAGAGGTCCTGGTACTCACAGAGAAGGACTAAGAGAACCAGAAATGTTAATCATGCAGGGTGCCTCTTCAATGGAGGATTAAAATATTAAATACCTGCACTCCATCCAGAAATCTGAGAGTGAATTTTGTTAATGACATGGGGACCTTTTTGCTCTCTGTAGAGGCAGACCTCACCCAAATTTCCCAGACTGATTATCCCAGACTCTTCCCTTCCTAGACCATTACTTATTCTTTGGGGAGATGTCACATGTACTCTATGGCCTTCTGACCTTTATGTTTTATGTCAAAGATCACATTAGATTCTAGGTCCTTTAGCTATAGAACCTGCCCTCATGGTCACATGCACTTTGTAAGATTTTTGTGTAGTTACACCTAAGCTTTACTGTGCACCCAGAATTAGACCGATTGTTGATCCTTTTGTTTAAGTTTCAATACTGCATAGGAAGTGCATTATTTTTTGTTTTTCCAGAAAGGAGGCAAATACAACATAAAGATGAATAGCCCATCTAGACCACAGTTCTCAACCTTCCTAATGCTGTGACCCTTTAATACGGTTCCTCATGTTGTGGTGACCCCCAACCACAAGATTATTTTGTTGCTACTTCATAACTATAATTTTGTAATGAATAATAACATTAGTATCTGTGTTTTCCAATGGTCTTTTGGGGCTGTGACCGACAGATTGAGAACAGCTAATGCCTGTAAGAAGGTAGTTAATATCCTCTCTGTCTCTCTCTCTCTCTGTCTCTCTCCTCTCTCTCTCTCTCTCTCTCTCTCTCTCTCTCTCTCTCTCTCTCTTATTTGTTTTTGAGACAAAGTCCTTATGTAGTCTTGGAACTCACTATGAAGACCATGCTGGCCTTGAACTCCTGCTTCTACTCTAACACTCCTGTCCACTTAATACTCTCTTAAAATACATTATTTTAAGTCTTTTATGCAAATGTATTATTATTTCATACAATGTATTTTTAAAGTTTTTTAAGAAAATTAAATTTATGCATACCTCTGTGTGTGTGTGTGTCTGTTTTTGTTCAACATGTGTTGCGTGGAGGCCAGAAAAGTGTGTCAGATCCTCTGGAGCTGGAGTTGCAGGCAGCTGTGAGCTGGAAACTGAACTTTGGTCATCTAGAAGAGTAGCAAGCATTCTTAACCATTGAGCCATCTCGCCAGCCCCATATAATGTATTTGACCATATTCAACCCACATTCCTCTCCTGTACTTAGTATCCTTTACTAGAAACATACTAGGGGACTGGGGAGATGGCATGACCATAAGGACCTGAGTTCGGATTCCTAAAAACCACATAAAAGTGGCACAAGTCTGCTACCCTAACACTGGGAACAAGTCTGCTATCCTAACACTGGGGACAAGTCTGCTACCCTAACACTGGGAACAAGTCTGCTACCCTAACACTGGGACAAGTCTGCTACCCTAACACTGGGGACAAGTCTGCTACCCTAACACTGGAGATGTGGAGACTCCTCAAGCTTACTGGCTAGTCAGTCATCTTAAGTTAACTGCCCAAAAATTAAGATTGAGAGTGATCAAGAAAAGATATGTGCTGTCTACCTCTATCCTCCTCTACACAACATGTACACACACACATACAACACGTGAGCATGAGAAGATTGTTGTTCTAAATTCTGTGACTTGAGGACGTAACACGTTTTGTTGTAATTACTAAGGAAGGAAAGCAGATGCATTTTGAGACTAGAAAGATGGAAGTTGCAGTGAAAGCAGAATTACTGTGTATTTGAGATAGGCACAAGGGACTCACACAGCCCAGGCCAGCCTCAGACTTCATCTGGAGTTGAGGCTCACCTTGATTTCCTGATCCTCCTGCTTCCACTTCCCAAATGCTAGGGCGTACAGGAGTGTCCCAACACATGGGAAAAATTATTTGTTCATGAGTTTAAAAGGTAAGGATATCTAAAGTAAATAGTTGGGAGCTTTTCTTCTGAGTCTTCTTAAGAGTAAAATAGACAATTTCCATTTTAGAAGAATCTGCTGTAAGTTCTGCAACATTAATAAATGATAGTGGCAGAGATATTTATTCTCCATAGACATGCCCACACTGTAGTTACAATTTAAGAATTTCACTGGTTGTTTTGGAACTTACTGCGTAGACCTTAAACTCACAGAGGGTTACCTGATCCTTCCTCTCAAATGTTGAGATGGAAGACATGTGCCATCATGCCTGGCTCCCTCAAACACTTTAGATGAAGCATTTCATATAAAACTGTCACATTGAGGATGTTATAACCTACAGAAAAGTTGTGTTTAATCCTATCATTTGGAATGTATGTCGATGGCACCCTGCAAATTCTATCACAGTCAAGGGGAATGTGTGAGTGGTGTGGAAATTCAACTAGGAATGAGGACCCTCCCACCCCCAAACCAAAGAACAAGTGAGAATGTAAAGATACACCAAGGACTCTTCCTGGCTAAATCAAAGTGTGCCTTTTGATGTTTTGGGAAAGCTTAGCGGTAGCGAGATGTGAAGATTATGGATAAATTACAACCAATCACAACCATCATTTTCTTACTCATTTCTTGTAGAGTTTCCTACTAGTTTTTAAGTTATGTTCAACTTTTCATCAATAATGTCTTCTTTAGAAGAGGACAACAGGGGGTGGGGGGAGATTGAAAAGGAATGGTATCACAAAAGCTTGATCACTTTGTCAACTTCTCTTCTGTGTTCTTAATGGTTTATAGTGTCTAAACACTTACATGGCTTATTTTCTGCCAATCTCTTCTTGACCTGTTCACATTGTCTCCCTCTGAAGTGTAAACTCCCTCTTTAGAGATCACATTATTAGTCTTTTTGTCTTCCACAGCACCTTTCTAGAACCTTCACACGGTAAGCACTTACTATTTGATTGATGAAAAGAAACAAGACAAGCTAGAAATATATGACATCCAAGATGAACAGGACAGGGTCACATTTAAACTTCTAATTTACCTAAAAGGCTGGCAGAAACATAAACATTGAACTTGACATCCACTCTCCTCTCAAGTCTATTAGCTGTGATACTAGATGGTCTCTTTCCTTCTAGCTCTGCTATTTCTTCTACTGAAACTCCTACTTCCCACATACCTCTGTTCTCCAAGACTGAGGAAAAGCTCGAGCCTAGATTAGGGACTAGATCTTTCAGGAATGTAGAGAACAGGAAAAGGGTCTGGTGTTATTATTTTGAAGTCAGCAGTAGTGCCATGTGTGTCCATACCTGACCCATCAAATGACAGTTTTGTCAAAAAGCCGTTTTCCAGGCCACACCCTCATCAGAAGTTCATTGTTTCACGCGCACTGACCATGCTTCTGATTGGCTGGCATCACCTTTCCCCTCCCCCGACACTATGAGTGGCCTACTGCTCTTAAAAGACTGGCTTGGCCCAATCTCAAGTTCTCATGTCTGGACACGTGAGACAGTTGGAGAGACTGAAACAACCCCATAGTTTACACATCTCTTTCCTTGACCATGTGGAGGGTGACTGAAATTAGGTCCCAGTTGATAGGTGACTATCATCAAAAGAAAAGTCTCTTAAGCAAGCACCCAAAGTTTAGCCAATACAGTAGTTTCACCATATCCTTGGTTTTGTTACACAAGCTTAGTTACCACCCATCAACTTTGGTCTGAAAATATTAATGGAAAAGTAACAGAAATACTCTTTATTTTGAAATTACAGTACTCAACAGCATAATGAAGTCTCTCACTGTCCTGTCTGGGACGTGAATCCTCCTGTCCACTCTGTATTCACTCTGTATAAATGACAGGTATGGCAGATTTGTCAGCACTTTGCCACAGTTGTCCCATCTTATTACTGCTGTCATTAATTTCTTATTGTACTTTATTAAAACTGTCATAGATGTATATAGACAAACAGTATGTTAGCATTTGGTACTATCTGTGGTTTCAGGATGCTGTTGGGGCTGGTGAATAAACAAAGGAGCACTACTATACTGACCATTCTGGAGCAGGGCCATGATTTTTTACTAGTTTTAATGAATTTACTACTTGTAAGCTAAATTATACATGTTTTTTAATAGTTACGTGTGTACTTCTAAATTTACTCAAAGAATGGCTAAAATCTGCTGAGGCCCTATAAGAATTTAAATTTTCATAATCCAGTGGGACACTGTCAAAGTATGTTTTAAAGGGGCTGCCCTGGTTAGTTTCATGCCAACTTGACATAAGGTAGAGTCTTTGGAGGCGGGAGCCTCAGTTGAGAGAATGCCTCTATTTGGCTGGGATGTAGATGAGCTTGGAGGCCTTTTATTAATTAGTTATTGATGTGGGTGGACTCAGCCTGCTGTGGTGGGACCGCCCTTCGACAGGTGGTCCTGAGTTCTATAGGAAAGCAGGTTGAACAAGCGAGTAAGCAGTACCATGCCTCTGCATCAGCTCCTGCCTCCAGGATCCTACTCTGTTTTGAGTCCCAGCTTCCTTCAATGACAGACTATGATGTAGAATATCGAAGTGTAAAGTTAAATAAACCCTTCCTTCCCTAACTTTGCTTTTGGTGATAGTGTTTCATGGCAGCAATAGAAACCCTAAGACCAGGCACATATTTAAAACTTAAACAAAAAACTAACTGAAAATACATGTGAATTATATGTGAACTGAAAATATATGTGAGTATATATGTGAATATACTCTCAAAGTCCATTCTAGTAATTAAATTTACTGTATTCCAAAATGTAAAAGCACACATTTTAAGGGGGGTTGTTTAATTATGCTTATGTTACTAATCCAGTCTCAGAGTGAGTCCAGTTAAACAGACCTTTCAGTTGGTAAATGTCAGAGCTTCTTTTTCCATTTTACTACACAAAGAAGCTCGAGCATTGACTTTTGCTTTAAAGAGATTCTGAGCTTTGAGGTCAATCTGTGTTAACATTTAACCTTCCACTATCATCTTAACTTGAAAAATCTACTTACTCTAAAAAAACAAACAAATAGTATTGCTGTACCTTTTATCAGTATTCCCTTAAGATGGATGCTAAACTAAAGAAAAATTTAAAGGTATATTAAAAAATTCTTGAGTCTAAAAAAGGATTCTTGGATCTATTTCTAATGAAACAGGTTTTTCTGAACTTTCTTATACTAGGTATGTGGCACGAACCAGACAGGGTGCTAAAATGTCATTTCAGTGAATCTTTATAACTCCATTAGCCAATGCTATCACTTTTAATCATCAAACTTTAAATCCCAGAAGAATAGATTCATAAGTCAATGTAGCACAGCTGAGCTGGTATCTCAGTGGCACTGAAAAAATTTACTACAAAGGGACTTGATAGAAAAGCTTTACGCAGAATTCATCTATGCTGACTTGTGCCATTGTGGAAGTTACTCTTATGGAGTTGAGTATCTACAATGATAGACTTCTAGTAAAGAAACTCTTGTTAGTCTTTGAGAGTAGTTGCAAGACGAATCAGTATAGGTTTTGTATGTTTATTTTTTTGAGACAGGGTTTCTCTGTGTACCTTCGTTGGCTGTTCTGGAACTCACTCTGCAGACCAGGCTGGCCTCAAACTCAGAGATCTGCCTGCCTCTGCCTCTGAGTGCTGGGATTAAAGGTGTGCACTATCACCATCCAGTTTATTATTTTATCTGTTTTGAGACAGTGTTTCATGTAGCTGAGCTGAGCTTGAACTCCTGACCTTCATGCCTCCACCCATCCTAAGTGTGTGAATTACAGGTATGTATCATCACACCTCCCCCGACCCCCCTCCACACACACTCTTCCAGGCAGTCTTGCTATATTGTTCATGCAGGTCTAGAATTCAAGATTGAGTGCTTCCCTAGGGCTGGGGTTACTAGAGTGCACTCACTTCTGGCTTCAATAAAACCTTGTGAACCAACAGGGCTATTGTTCATTCAAGTGACTGAAAACAAGGCTTAAGAGACACTAATATAAGAAATATTCTTTCAGGATGGCTTCAAACTTACAAGGTACTAAAAAATGATCTGATCTTCCCAATGTTGGAATTACAGCTGTGTGGCACCATGTCTGGCTAACATATATGTTTTACTATTCTTTTTCAATATGTGCCATACTTCATGTTTTTTCAAAATGTTTACTCTTGGAAACACATGTACATATATATGGCAAACAGATAAATATGCCTTATGAAAAATGAAAAATAGTAATAATATGACTGTTCAGAAGCATTTCACTTTTGCCCACACCAAATTCTCTAGTTTTTCCTCCTCAAAAGGGACAAGTGTTTTACCTACATTTAAGTATGTGCACTAAGAGTGTGCAGTGCCTGGAGAGGCTGGGAGGCTATGGATCCCCTGGAACTGGAGTTATAAACGGTTATGAGTAGCAATGTGGATGATGAGAACTGAACCTAGGTACTCTGTAAGAACAGTGAGTGCTCTTAACTGCTGAGCTATTTCTTTAACTCTGTTATATAGTATAATTTCAAAGGTTCTTCCATTGGTATGTAGCTCAGTGTTACAGTGTGTGTTTCGCATGCACAAGTCCTGGATTCAACCTACCAAAAAGGCCTCTCATTTCCTCAAATACTGAAATCCCTTGAAGACTTGTTTTACTAATAGTTTTAGTTCAGGACTTCAAAACGAAGGCCAAGTCAATAGAATGATAATTTCCAGTGTGGAGTAATCTATGTCCAGAGTCTCCAAGATTCTGGAGACAAAGGTTACAAGCATACACAGAAAACCTATTTAGGTTGCAAGTACTCTGCAAGGCACTTATTTTACCCAAAGCTCCAGCTTATAAATCAAAGGACAGGTTAGATGGATTCTAGAGCCTTTTGTGCTGTATTATATCAGTTACTGAAGTAATTAAAAATTAATACTCTTTATGAACCAGGGTGTGTTGATATTATCTCAAGCTAGGAATGGTAGCACATTTCTGTAATCTCCACACTTAAAGAGACTGAGTCAAGAGAGGAGAGTTGGAGGCTACTCTAGGCTATAACAAGTTCCTGTCTGAAAGAAAACAAAGAGCAAAAAATAAAACAAAATTGTCTCAGTTATCATTACAACCATTCTATTTAAAAATCTCTAGTGATGAAAGGATGTCCAGTTAGAATATTTTAAAATAGTTCAAGCCATTTTGCTAGTCATTCTACTGTTTGTATCTCACCCCTTGACACTATTAGGGAAGTTTTCTTCTATAATTTTGTTGAAGATATTTATTGGCCCTTTAAGCTGGGAATCTTTACTTTCTTCTATACCTATTATCCTTTGGTTTGGTCTTCTCATTGTGTCTTGGATTTCCTGGATGTTTTGGGTTAGGAGTTTTTTGCATTTTGTATTTTCTTTGACAATTGTGTCAATGTTTTCTATGTTATCTTCTGCACCTGAGATTCTCTCTTCTATCTCTTGTATTCTGTTGGTGACGCTTACATCCATGACTCCTGATCTCTTTCCTAGGTTTTCTATCTCCTGGGTAGTCTCCCTTTGTGATTTCTTTATTGTTTCTACTTCCATTTTTATGTCCTGGATGGTTTTGTTCAATTCCTTCTCCTGTTTGGTTGTGTTTTCTTATAATTCTTTAAGGGATTTTTGTGTTTCCTCTTTAAGGGCTTCTACCAGTTTACCTGTGTTCTCCTGTATTTCTTTGAAGGAGTTATTTATGTCCTTCTTAAAGTCCTCTATCATCAATATGAAAAGTGATTTTAAATCTGAATCTTGCTTTTCCGGTGTCATGGGGTATTAGGACTTGCTATGGTTGGAGAACTAGGTTCTGATGATGCCAAGTAACCTTGGTTTCTGTTGCTTACATTCTTGCGCTTGCTTTTCGCCATCTGGTTTATCTCTAGTGCTATCTTCACTCACTGTCTTTGACTGGAGCCTTTCTGTCCTGTTATCTTGGTTGTGTTAGAACTCCTCAGAGTCCAGCTGTCTCTGTGATCCTGAGATCCTGGGTGTGATAGCTCCTGGGAGTCAGGCTGCTTCTGTGATCCTGAAATCCTGGTGCTCAAGCTCCTGAGATCCTGTGATCCTATTATCCTATGTTCCTGAGCATGTTAGAGTTCCTGGGAGAACAGTCCAGCCTTCTCTGTGTTTTGGGGGATTGAGTGCAGAGCTGGTGCCCTAGGACTGCTCCAGGAACTGGCACAGACCAGAAGGGTCCCCTGCCACTGGCTGTGAGGGAGTTCCTGGGTCTCCGTGGATCCCAATTATTCCCTGTTTGGGGGGGAGGGGAGTGTTGTGGCCTACTCACCTACGATCCTGGGTGTGTTAGAGCTCCCCCTTGGACATTATTATGTGCTTCCCC